GAAATTGCATCATNTATAAATTATACTATGTTTAAAAACAAAGCGAGTAGACAGCGCAACAAGTATTACCGTTCTGTGCGCAAAACAAAGGATGAAATAATTTGTGTTACCAGCCCAAAATGTAGCCAAGTCAAATTTTTGTAGCCCAAAAAGTAGCCAGTGCGCCAAATGCTTTTTTTAACGCCAAAATGAAAAATAAGTAGCCCAATTTGGCGCAAAGTAGCCAAATCTGGCAACGCTGAACGAACTTTCGCGCGCTTTTTTTTACGCGTTGCCAGACAACGTTCGGGATCTCTGGCGCTGGCGGCCACAGCGTCAATCTTAATCCCGCTGAGTATTGAAAATATACGAAACTGTAGGAAAATCTAATTTATATTTATTAAATCGATAAAATGTTTTATAAACTATAAAAAATAAATAATATAAATTATAAAATAATTATGAAAATATTACTTTTTATTCGCCGAAATCAAATATTAAAAATTAAAAATCGAAAGTTGTAGTTTCGAGCGTAGCTTACGAGATAAGAAAGGCTATCGCATTCTCAACTTTTCGCTTCGAAAAGAGGGTCGTTTAGAGTTGCTAAATTTTGTCGCTAGGTGGCATCTTAACACCCCTATTCAGAGACAGACGTATACTAGCTAAGGCAGTATTCACTGGCTAAACTGTATATCTGTCACAATTAAATTCACCATTATTTACTGTATTCTTAGTGATTACCTGTAAATATAAACAAATCATTGTGTTAATATTGTAATAATTTAAATGTCTCATCTGTATATCTGCTTATTTTGTATATCAATCACTATATAATCTTAATTGTAAATATTGCTATTTTTTACAGATCTTGTTTACTAGATCACTCATTCTGTAACTTGGTCAATTTTCGTTGAAACTGTAGATTTGTCAAACTTGTATATTACCTAAATTTGTAATTTTAATTATTTGTCAAATTTATAGATATGTTTTAAATTTACAATGTAATTTATTTTCTCGACTGACATACCTGTATATATGTCAAATCTATGCCTCAAATTTCTTTGAATATTGTTTTCCAAATGTTTTAATTGAAAAAGACTTTATACATAAATCTGTACTACTAGCTTGTATCAAGCAACTTAGCCTGTAAAATTGAATAAAAATATGTATTGTTAAAAATTGAACATGTGTTTCATGTAAAAGAGTTTTGAAAGAAAAATAAACTTTAATTTAACAGTATTCTCTGGCTTAAGTGTTGTCACATCTATTGAAATTTAAAACAACGTAGCATACATAGTTATTTTTTATACCGCATTATTTCTTTTATTGTAAAAGAAACTTCGATTCTTTTCACAACATGGTTTATTGCTGCATGCCATTGTGTAAAAGCAGTGGACGTACGAAAGGTGTTACTTTCCATGAGTTCCCCTCTGAAGCACAGTTGAAAATACAGTGGCTCTTAAGTATAAAAAGGGAGGGTGAGAAAAAAGGCAGTTATTGGATTCCTTCTGAAAGATCTAGAGCAGTGTTTCTCAACGGGGGCGATATCGCCCCCATGTGGGCGTTTTCCCATGTTGAGGGGGAGATTAGTAACAATTTATATTTTGGGGGCGAAAAACAATTTTCTGGACGATATAGTAAAACATTATATTAAGAATAATTAGATATTTTATTCGTTATATTGTACAATAATTAAACAAATAACATTATATAGTCACTAGTCTATTCGATGCAGTACGAATTTGGCGTTAGCCTTGGCCCTGGGCATCGGAATTTTGAAGTGAATGGAGCGATACTACGTAACGGTTTTATTGAAGGGGCGATACTACGTTGAAGGGGGGTGATACTACGTAACGGTTTTATTGAAGGGGCGATACTACGTTGAAGGGGGCGACGATTCGTTAGAGGTTGAGAAACACTAATCTAGAGTTTGTAGTCGACATTTTCTCCCCACAAATTATAGTGTTAGCACAACACGAAAAAGGCTTCTACCTGGCTCTGTGCCATCAGTTTTTGAGGAGTATCCAGAAAGATTAAAAAGAAAGAAGCCTGAACCCAGAAAATTGCCCAAAAAGAGATGTACACAGTCTACAACTGGGTATTTAACTAGCGTGGAAAATAATATTGATCAAGAAGAGGATGGTGATGAAAAGAATGAGGATGCAAATGAAAACAGAACAGCCAGCATTGGTAATCAAGTTCACATTCCTGTTTGCTCATTCATAAGTAAAAGAACAAGTAATACACTGAGAAATTTAAAAAGGAAATGTTCAAGGCTTACAAAACAAATTTCAAAGCTCACATCAACTGTAGAAGCACAAAAACGTTTATTAAAAGAAAGACTAAGGAAAACTCCTCTGGAAAAGAAATTTCAGGAAATTGTATCTGAAGCTACATTCAAGAATTCATTAAAAGCTAATTTTTTAATTGAACAAGTTAACAGTTATGGTAAGAAAAAGGGACACTATGAAGAGACCACTGTAAAGGTTTGTGCATTACTGCAAAGGAAATCCTCCAAGACCTACAAGTATTTGAGACAAATTGATATTTTGCATATCCCTCATCCAGAAACCTTGAAAGGATACATTGGTTATGCCAGTAGAGAAATTGGTGTTACTTCACTGATTAAATGTCGACTTGCAGCAGAATTCAAAGGATTAAAGACCGATTCTGAAAAGTTTGGGTCCCTTATCATTGGCGAGATGGCTATAAAACCTTTAATTTATGATAGAAAATTGGATGCATTTTTAGACCAACCAAATATGGACATGAATCTGATAGAACTTGAAGACAAATTAGCAAATAAATTGCTATACTTCCTTTTCCGTGGCCTAACAACACCTTATCGGATACCTGTAGCCTTTTACTTTACTTCAAACATAACTGCATTTGACCTTAAAAATTTAACTTTTAAAGTTATCACAGCAGTAGAAGAGGAAGGATTTATAGTCCAGCGTGTGCTTACTGACAACTATTCAGTTAACACTTTGATGTTCCAACTTTTGAGTGGTGATGAATGCGGCCATGTATCAGCCAATGACAAAACCCGTAATCCCTTCCTGGCATTTGATCAGTGTCATGCAGTGGCGTACCGTGGGTGTCAGCCGCCCGGGGCGGAGGAAAATTTTGGCCCCCCTTATTTAGGTATTTCAATTAAAAGACCAAAATTCAGTTTTGTCACAGAACAAGCAATGGAAAATTCGGTGGTAGTGCAGCGATCTGTTTAAAATACTTCTATTGGATATTAGTGGTGTATATGAACGCGAATGAATCGTACAAGCAAAAAAAAAGATCACCAGGTTTCGCAGGAATTCCTCGGATGAAACAGCTACTAGTTCACCCGGCGAGTCTGTTCCCAGATTGTCCGGACGATAGCAATATCGTAGGCGCGATGCAAGTATAGATTAGGACGTTTCAAATTTTTACAAGATATTATTATTATTTATTGTGAAATTTTGCCGCCCCCTAAAAAGTGCCGCCCGGGGCGGGCCGCCCCTGCCGCCCCCACTACGGTACGCCACTGATCATTGGAAATTTTTTACTTCCGAAATCTACAAGAAAGTTGACCGGCTCGAGTTTGCCCGTTGAATTCCTGTACTGACGTAATTTATTTCATCGAACTATGTTGTGTTTGAAAAATACAATGTTTCGAACGGTTGCATCGAATTGTGTTGTTTTGCACTAGTGTGTTCTGCGCTCGAAAATCAAAATTCGCCTCTTTCGTCGTCTAGACTCGAGAGAGCTTATACAACTCAATCACTTACTTCTGAATGAAACTTCTTATTGTTGGCGCATATATATGTGAAGTTCATATTGTAAAAAAGTTATATCGCAAAATTAAAATACTTCCTAAATAATAATTATAAATTCCATTGTTATATTCTGTCCCCAATTATTTTCTCATAAGAAGTAATAAAGTTTTACTTTGTGACTAAAGCTTATTTTCTTGAATTGTTTCCTGTTTGTGATATAAAGCAGAATTCCCTACTCGGTAATTTGCTTTTTATATCCTATACTTTAAACGTAACTGACTGGTCAATGTTAGTATGCGGATGACGTTAAAATTAAAGTTACAAATTCCGATTCGACTAGCCCGCGACGTGACTTAAATGTAAGTATTCGCACTCTCGAACGTTTAAACTTATCTATAAATATTTCAATAAACGAATTTAATGTGTTTTTCTTTTCTCCTCTAGAGAATATCATTTTCCCGTTGATATATACAAACGACATTATTCAAATCAAGATTCTGTTATTAACCTTGGCATTTCCTTTTGATGCTACGCACGCATCTAATTTACACATTATTAAACTGGTCGGGAACATATCAATTAGGAGAGGTATACTTCGGGGATTCTGTAATTCGATATCTTCGAAAATCGCTATAAGATTAATATGTGTGAGAAACTTCAATCTGCGAAAGAGCGAGATATTTCAATTTAGGCATCGCCAACTCAATCTTTATATTTTAAAGATTCTACTAATTCAAAGTATACTTTCTGTTCGACAAACTACGTCATCTTTTATATATAGAATTTATCTCGGATGCCAGGAATTCCTTTTTTCATTTTCGAAACTACATGGGATTTTACCCGTACAGCCCCCGGAGGACGATAATCCCACCATCCGACGCATCCAAATAGACCGCCCACGAAAAATTCCCTTAGGTTTTTCGCTGACCCGGATTGAATCCCGAGTACTCCGAAGAGATGGCCGATGCCTTAACAACCTCGGCCGTCGGCCTGGTAAACCGTTATGGCTAGAAACTTATCTTAACAACGAAAACTCAAGTACCGCAAGGGCGATTTCTTACACGAGAACAATCGATCATCGGAATGCATTGGCGGATGTGGATAAATTATTACTTCGTAACACATTAATTAAAATGTCGATATTTACTTTTAAAATACAATTAATGTATTTAATTTAATATTTTATATTTATTTCCAATTTATTTCGATCCGTCTATAAACGTATAGAATAACGTTCCGACGACTAAATTTCAATAGCATTTTACTCATTAAGCAGCTGGCAACACGTAAGCGGGGAAAGAAGAAGCCATGTTTGTTTGAGAGGATTCCACAAATTCAATCGAAATATCGAAAATGATCGGTCGAAACGAAGCGTTAGACCGAAATCAAAGGCGTTGTTTGGTATATATTTACGGTAATTATTTGGATCCCACGAACGTATAAAGTAGCCATGTTTATTAATGTCGCGTCGAATAAAAATGAAAGTCGATAGTCTGGTCGTGTATCGTCTGGTCTGAATCATCATGGACGGAAACAAGGATGAATGCGAGAAATGCATCAGCTTCGCCGTTAGATTCATTAACGAGGGAAGGAGAGATTTAGCCTTGAAGTATTTGCGTAAAGCGGACAGGTTATATCCTTGCCAGAAAGCTCGAGGTAAGTTTCCTCCGTTTATAACATTTAATAATTAAAATCCCATGTAAATATCGTTACCACAAATCAAATTAAAGTGCATAAATGCCATTGAAAGAAGTAAACAAAAACGCAACGACAAACTTACCGATAGATAACTCGGGTTATAACATCGGGCTGACTCCTTAGCTAGGAAGGGATGATTTGCAGATGCGTATGATGATGAATAAAACACAAATTCTATCTTGACAAAATTTGCACCGCTTTTAAGCATTTATTCCGGCTTTGTTCGCTTTATTGCAATAACGGGTTCGTATTATTAACCTTTCTTGCTACACGATTACTATTAATGAAAAAAGAAAACCGTAAAGTACAATACAGAACGGTGGTAGAATCGTTCCGTACCTAATAAGTATTTTGTAAAGGGACGAGTAAACTCCGTGTGGACGCGGCCCCAAACGCCGGAAGAGGTGACGTACGTCGGTCCTGTCGGGTGTTTGGGGGAATTGTTTTAATTTCTACCCGCGGGTGCCGAGAGGACGTTTGCAGATCCTTGTTTGCCGAGACGGTACGTTAAAGGTGTTTTCTCCGGAAGGCAGAGAATTTCCGTCTCGGTTGGACCGCCGCTTCCGGAGACGGGTTCTCGGCCCAAAAGATGCCAAAATTCGGCACATAAAACATACCTTAATGCTGGAACATATATTCTACTATTTTAAACAGTCAGAATTGCATTAGGTTATTTCTGTAATATAACAGCATGTGATGGAATGTGCAGTTTAAAAAATAGAGCAAGTTGTCGATTACAAACACTTTTCACGTAATGATAGATGATGAGGAGGAAAATTAATACTGAGTATTATTCATTAGGCAATGCCAAAAATAGATTTACAAGTGGAAGGGAAGGAGTCTGCCTCCTTGAAATTCATGGCAGAGGCCTTTCTAGCAGTTCTAAAAATTTATTTTTTTTTTGTTCCAAGTACTTCGGATGGGTCCTGTTGTTAATGTGATGGAGGATGCATGCCTGCTTGCAATGAACTTGGATGTTGTTATCAGACACATGCTGTAGTGATGAGGCCAGAGCTATGGTGGTAAGGCCTTTTTTCAATGGTAGTATTATGTTTTTAAGGTGTGTAGTCAAAGATCATCCTATAGCTTCCACTTATTCCAACCTTTGGCTGATTCTGTTATTGGTTAAGTGGGATGATAATATACTCTAGGTAGTTGCATCATTACTGGGTGATCCGTGACATTCCTGAAATACAAAAACTGGCTCTTTCTGGATGTGAGGTATATGTTGCTGAAACTAACAATCTCTTCATAGAGGCCAAAGAACCTTTTGATGTAAATAATTACTTTGTATGTCTTATTATGGACAGTAGAAAAGGTTTGTTTCAGCATTAAAGTCTGTTTTATGTGCTGGATTTTAGTTGTGTATTCTTAAAGTATATCCAGTTTATTAAGTAATTAATTCAATATATCATTTGTTATTCAAGAGCTTACTGGTAAAATTATTTACTGTAAGACAACTAACAAATACTATAAATCTTGGATCACAAGCAGTTGCAGATTGAGACCTTCCAGTGCTCTAGGCACATAAAAGTGGAGACCACTCTATATAATTTTATAACAGCATGAACTAATAACATTTACTTGTAATTACAGAATTATTTATAAATCAAGAGTCATAGCAGTGACTCTGTGCCAAGTAAAAAGTTACTGATTATATATACATAGAAATCAAAGTTGCCAATTTTTAGGGATTGATTTCTCTGCCCCAATTGCCTAAAGTAATTCTGAATATCTCGTTTGAAAGGTAATCATTTTCTTAGATGGTGTGCATTTAAGATTTTTCTATAAAGGAGTTGCTGAAATATAAAAATTGTCAGAAAAGCTGTATTTTCTTCTTTTTCATCCAGAACTTCAGGTGCTTCTAGAGAAAAACTAGTAGATCTAGATAGCTCAAATTTTAAACTCAGTCCTCTCTTATCAGTTGGCAAAACTTTGGGTTTATAGGTCAAAGTTCACAGGGTTCCACACACACAGCTATTTTACTTTTATTGCTTAATTGTATGCTTATAAGGATAAAATTGTCTTGAAACAAATAATTTTTATTCAAAATTTCATCCAGAATATCAAAAGCTCAAATTTATGAGTTTAAATTTTTTATAGTGATTTTATTAATGGCATATTGAAAGCATTTGATTGGTGGTCATCACCAAGGTCTGTCCGAACTATATCATGTTGTCTTAGGTCTGATGTAATAACACAGTCATTAACCAAAAAACAATTGATGTCCAAACAAAAACATTTGAGATATAAAACACTTTTGCCAAGTAAAAAATTATGAGAATTTAGACGATAGTCAAATTTTTTTCTTGGGAGTTTTTCTTTTGCAAAGATAAGCTTGACACTTCAAAGTGTTATCCGAAAGAATTTTACCTGTATTGTTGCTTTCTACATTTCATTTCAAAATGCCAAACTTATCTTTACTGAAGATCCTAAGAAACAATTTGACTGTCATCTGAATTGTCATAATTTTTTTACATCTCAGATGTTTTAGTTTGGATTATAATATACAATTGCAAAGGTAAAGTTGCTAAATTTTTTCCCAATTTCTGGATGCCTCACTTGTCTTGTGGGTAATCCAACACTGGTAATAAGGTATCAGTTATAATTTATAATAATAGTATATAATAATTTTTAAAATTTAATTACTTGTACTGTATTCTGTTTTGTGTTTTGTATGTTATTAAAAGAAACATCCTTTAAAATAAGTTAATTAACACTGTACACAATGTACACAATAAAATCATGTTTGAAACTAATGCACATCTTATTAATAATATGCATTAGTGCTGGAACTCAGAGACAAGTTTAAAATTGCATAAAGTTATCTGATAATGTATGTCTTGTATAATGCAATTTCCTTTAACATGGAACATTTCTCCCACTATACATAGTTATACAGGATATTCTGTGGAAAACTGGCCCCACTTACCAATTGAATAAAACCTGACTGCCTTAAATGATGAAGTGTTGGTTGTGCAAGCTATCTTCTTACTGAATTTTATTTTATAAATATTAATAAAAATGAAAATTAGCAACATATCAAATCATTTTTCAGCTGTTTTAGATAAATTAAAATTTTGTGATTATACATTGCCTTGAAATTAGTATTAGATCTTGTTCAGAATATGTTAAAATTATTTTTACAAAATATTTATCTTGATCAAGAAAATTGCTTTTATGAAAAGCAATAATTTTCTTGATATAATAGGCTATATTTTAAGATATAAAAGAGAAATCTGTTTTAGAAATTTTTTTGGATTTCAAAGTTGAAAAATTGTGAAGATAAAAGTGAATTTAAATATATAATATAAACTTGATTTGTGATTTTTAATGATGATAAATAAAATGATTAAATTTGAAAGTAATTTTTTGAGGAGAAAATTCACTCATATAATATTTGAGCGTTTCTTCACTTTAGTTAACTTTTATACAAAAATATCTAAAATTTCTTTATATGGGAAGAAAATTTTTAGTTACAGTGTCTAACCTTTTTACATTATTACAATCCATCTTCTAAGCAATCCATTAGAATATGAATTTCTTCAAAGTTTATTCGTATTTATATTTTAATGGATTACCTGGAAGATAGATCACAATGATTTGACAAGATTAAACTATGTAACCAAAAAAATTTTTCAAATAAAGCAATTCCAGTTTTTTTAATTGTATAAAGAGAATAGTGATAGTGGCTTTTAAGTTTTAATATAAAAACACATATGTGAATCACAAAGCAATTGGAAATTTATTTTTTCTGTTGTCACTAATATTATTTAATTTCATAATTTAATTTAATTAGCAATAAACTTTTGGTTAATGGTAATTTATGGAAAACTGATAGCAAATGCTATAATGAGTTTACATATTACTTTCAATATTAGAAAGAAAAGATAGTAAACTCTTCGATCTCATAACTATATTTGGTGTAATTGCACACATAGAATATATCTAGGGGGTTCACTCCCTATTAACCTAATGATAGTTTCAGTCGTGACGTTTTCCCTAAACCAATCGGCATCTTTCTGCCAAGGGTGGCATTACTGTGCATTGTCGTCATAATATTTGAAGTCTTTTACATGTGACTTCTAACAAACAATGTGACTGCACAATTATTATTAATTCTTAACAATTTGATTTAATTATTTTTGATAAATAGTACAACTTTACGATATTCTTCAATTTATTTTTTATATACAGTAGATCCCCCTATAAGACGGTAGATACGTACCATTATTTACAAATCAATTTTGTAGGAATCATAGTTTACGGACTACGGCTGTTTGAAAGGTTTTCTTTCATAAAATTAATCGATTCTAGACTAATTCGACTCAACATTTCCAAAATACGTATATTTTTTTTAAAATAATCCGTATAAACTACGTTATAAACAAAAAATTGTAGGATTACTTACCGAGTGTGTACCCTTTGACTACGCTCGTTGCTAAAGCTTGGTTTCGTCGCGGAACAGCGCATCAAATTGCGGCCGCGATTTCTGATATTATTTTTCTGCGAAAACTTCGTTGACCTTTGGAGACATCATTAATATAAATAATTTTTATGGCCGTTAAATAAGAAATGTTTCTTTCACAAGAAATGTATAAAATTACAGTACTAAACAGACGATAGGTCGCCTAACTCGCCGTAGCGTGACGCTAGACGGCGAAAAATATATATTTAATTATAATAAAGTTACAATAAATTAAGTTAATATATAATTATATATACAGTACCTAATTTATATATAATTAATATATAATTATATGTACAGTACCTAATTTATATATAATTTATATAATACTGTCCAGACGATAGAAATCTCTCCGTAGCGTGGCGCTACGGACGGCGGGTAAGTAGTTCGGCTGCCCGATGACGTTTTACGTATTATAGGAGTTATTTTTACCGTTGTTTACGGATAATGCCACAATTTTTATAGGAATCATAACTATAGGAAACGCTTTTATAGGGGGATCTACTGTATATTTTATCACATTGATAGCAATCTTTATAAATTTATATATTTTTAAAATCTTCAAAATTTTGTATAGAATATGTAATAAATGAATTATTTTGTGTGCTATAAAAAATTATCAGTTTTCTACACGTATTAATTCCTTAGAATGTTTGTACAAAATTAATTTTTATTTAAAATATGAAATAAAATGTCATGATGAATCACAGTCAATTATAGTGAGTTATAAAATCTGATCCATTATAATAACTACTTATAGACTGTTCTTAATGTTTCTTTATTAACAAAATAAACCTGATAAAATTACATTGTACTTTTAATAACAGTAATAATAAATTTTAAAAATAATAACAAAGTTAACAGTAATAACTATTTCTATTCCAAACTAAGTACTGTACAGTTCAACTAATATTACTCTTATACTTGACACTTTCAATTATTGTCTTTTGTTGTTTGCAATTCATTGTCTTCTATCTTGAAAGTTGAAACAAGAACGAATTTTCAGGTCAACCAAAACCACGCATACTGCACGAATGTTAAATCACGTGACTCGGGACTTGCACGTGATCTTTACGTAATATCTAGTAGTTCAGATTAATTCGGTGAACCATCAATAGGGTCGGTAATGTCTAAAAAATTTTATGTTTTCCAAGTTAACCCTCCAGATATACTTATTGTATGATTGATTGCACATGTGAACATTTTATACCGTCTTCATAATTTTATTATTTTTATTTCATAAATCGTAACATATTTAATATAAAATACACAATTTTAATAAAATTATATAATCTAATCAGAACATTTTAAACAGATTTAATTAATCTCCTCGAGAAACTGATCACAGATAACGGCTATTCTTTTCATCCTAAAACCGTTCCTACCGAAAATGCCGAAAGAGACGACAGTCAGTCGTATAAAAGGTCGACTTTTATAAACGACGAAGAAGATAAAGAAAATGAATATTACGTGGACGACGAAGATGGTGAATATACCGAGCAAAGCCTGGAAAATATTCAAAGGTAGGTGCAATTTAATTTTTTTTTTCATTTTTAATAAAATAATAATAAGTACCAACAATTAATTACTGTTACAATGTCACAATGCTCTCAATTTCACTAGTGTCTTACCCCTGTACATCATACTTTTCCTGTTAACAGGAAAGTCGTGCTAGTAAGTCAGGAGAAATATTTCAATTGAAATAACGTGACTTCCTCTCTAAATAGGAAGATTCAATATACTTAATCTGGTGTCTAACTTCTAATATTTTCATATCTGGTCTCGACTTTAATCTATCTAACTCCCTTCTCGATATTAAGGAAGGACAGTCAAACGGAAAATAATAGGGCTTCAATTTTCAAAAATTTTTAAAAATTCTTTTACTTTAAAAACATCTTAAAAATACATATGAAAAGTAAACATATATACTTAATAATTAACCAGAATTCGTTTAATTTAACTTAATTATATAATTAGTTAAAGGGTGTTAGTGTAATAAACATTTATTAGTAATATACTTGTAAGGCACGTTGCGTTAAAGGAAAATACATAATTTTATTCACGTTTAACCCGATTCTGTCATTTGTAAATCTTATTCAGGAAATGCAAAATCGTCAAAAGTTTATTCACTGCTCTTTAATACAGATTATATGCAAATGAATCAACTCTCAATCTGTCATTGCTGCTTGTTAAACATTGAAGAATACGAGTTAGAGATTAGTAAAGGCTTTATATTGTACAGTAGAAATTCTGGTAACGTATATACACTTTGACTTTTAATGTAATCGAAAAGGAATAAATAACCACAGTCAATACAAATGAATAATAAATTATCATTTATGATAACTGTATAATTTACTGAAGTTTGTTTAAGAGAATTTCGTTTTCTACACGAATCTCTTACGCATCTAATCATGTTTATTAGATGCTGAATCCATAAATTGTTTAGGGATATAAAAGGTATTATACAAAAATCCTTTCTTTACACAGTTTAAGCTTTAAGGATGGTTGTTACATACTAAAATGGATTAATGTATTAAAATTCGTTAGTTGAAATTTTAAATTGTTTTCATGTTGTGTTAAGATCGTATCAAATATTAAGTTCCTTCATCGATAATGTAATTAATGTATTGTAGAAGGAAGTTAAATTTTCGATAGAGCATCCTGTTTCCACTCGATTCGTGCGTGTAAACAGGGATTTTGTAATACTTCTGTGCCAATTTTTTTTAAATAATTTTGATAAAAAATTATATATTTATTAAGTTAGAATAAGCTACGGAATAAAATTATATTATAAATTAATGCATTTTATATACAATACCTTCCCCCCTCTACGTATGTGATATCACGAACAAAGTACAGGCAAAATACGATCCTTGAATATAGAATTACTTCAACCACTGTAAATTATTTTTATAAAACTTTAAAGAATTATAATATAAATTGTTTTCCCTTATTTATTTTCCGTATATTATACAAAGATATTTATAAAAGTACATCAAAAAGGATGTCACATACCAATTTTGGTTACAGGTTTGCTGGACAGTTAGAAGTTATAACACTTAAAACTTCACAAATTAGAGTTAAACACGCTGGAGTTTACTTATTTACGTGTTAAATGTTAGTTATTTATAAGGCGTTTAAATGATATTTTACCTTATTTATATTTATAAATCACTTAAAATCAAGTATCTAGAAAATATTTACAAGAGAGTCTCTTGTGATCGGTTGATAAGTGTGTCAAATATTAAAAGTGATGATCTATTTCTATGTAAATAACCTTGAATATTACATTATATTAATACTTTTTCTTGTAAGTAAAGTGATATTATAACGAAAATTAACTTTTTATAAGCGTAAAGGAAGATTTTTCACAAGTAGTGAGAGTTAATTGGAGTGTTTTATGTGTGTTTGTACTAAACACATAAAAATTCCCACACACACACACACCGTTACGAAAGACACGTAGAAATATTTCTTGGAAAAATTAATACACGTAAATACGTGTAAAATACAAATACATTCATAAAAATATCAAATTTTCCTTTAAAAAAGGTAAATAAATCTAATGCGAATTTTTAAACCCATACACAACGCTGGTGTGATTTAANACCTAATTTATATATAATTAATATATAATTATATGTACAGTACCTAATTTATATATAATTTATATATAATACTAAACAGACGATAGCAAACTCAATTTAGCCGCTCCGTAGCGTGGCGCAGGGTCGGAGGAAAGTAGTTCGGCTGCTCATCCACTATTGGTCCAGACTCTATCAATCTTGTCGCGAAACGACGTTATAGGAGGTACGTTATACGAAAGTTGCTACAATTTTTTCACTACGTTATAGGAATTGTCGTTATAGGAACATACGTTATAGGGGGGTCGACTGTATTGTTACTTTATGAAATAATTTTGAACTTATTAGTTTTGTTATATTTTATAGTACAATAAAAATTGAATATTGTATCCCATTTAAGACCTTCCTTCAAATTGAGACAAATATTATGAGCCAAAAAAGTAACTTTTCGTCAGTGTGTCCAGATATTGTTTAATATAAACATGCAACACAAAATAAGTCTAATATGTATTGTATGTATTTTTGTTAATGAAAACTCTTAATGCTAATATTTTTTAGTATATTACAAAAAAATTTTAAGTAATGTATTTTTATTTAATTTTATAAAGAATTTGAAATTTTGTTGAGAAATAATAGGCAAAGAAAATTATAATTACTCTGAAAATATAATGGCTAATTGAATTAAATAAACTTTCTAATCTTGGTGATCAAATAAGTTTGTGACCAAGGTAGTTAAGATGTCAGCCTATGGCAGAATCAAATCTATTCAAGCAATCTGAATTATTTTTTGGGATGGTTGGTTCCAGATATGTCAAGCCCCACCTTTATCACCCAGCCAAACACTAACCTAATCATAATGGGTATGGAAAAAAGGCCACCTTAGTGCTCACAGGGTGGAAATTATTAAAAATGGGGGGAATCCTTAATCTAGACTGAAGGCTGGAATTAAATTTCTCGCTTTTCATTTCCTTAATTTGTTTAGCAAAAATTTATCAATATATAATAAATAAATACTTTACTATATAATTATTGATACTGTTGTTGATATATGTTAATACTATATAATTGTTTACAGATCAACCTTTACTGCACAACCTTCTAGCACTAATTTTGGCTAGCATAGTTTCAGATTGCTTTGGTTGCTACATCAACCTGTCTCTATTGTTTGATGGCACTTACTGTTGCCAAATGTACGATAATTATTTTTTTGTACAATGTCACATTGTGCATGACATAAGATAATACTTTAACAATGATGACAAAATGTACAATAATTTGAGAAGGTGTAAATTTCTCAAATTTTTTAATAAAAGTTTACATATTTTTAGTTATTTATTTACTAATATGTCTTTAAATACATCATCAGAATAATAAATATAGGAATTACTATATTGTTGGCAGCCCACTCATTCATTGGAGATGACCAATGGCCAAGCAGTTAAGATATCAGCTTACATGGAAATGAATTCAGACAGGTGAAAAAATCTCAAGAATTTTTCATGTGATTGTTCGTCCAATCTCGAATATGTGGTGTACTGTTTTGTACATCCAGCTGCTCCATTGTGAACCTGGTCTTTTTTATCAAGCCCATCATAGACTTGATAAAAAAAAAATGGTTTCTTAGAGTCCACAGAGTGAAAAGAATTAAAAAATTAATCATCTATTTGGATTCTCCACATTAAATGTGTGTAGATGAGCACTTACCATTCTGTGATTAATTTAAAAGGTTTTATTACTTGTTTATTATGTGAAATATGTCCTGAGTTGCAGAATCAAGAATTTATTGAAGACAAAATTACATTTTGATGATATTAATGAAAGAGAATAATTTCAAATATTTTTGTTTTATTTAATTTTATACTTTACTAATAAATATTTTTCTTTGTTTTATTAATAAGAAATTTTTTCAAATTCTGTATTTTTATATACAGTCAAATAAAAGTTATAATATTATGATAATGTGTATGATAAAATATGATAATTTTTAAGGCTATATACAGTACAATAAATAGCTTTTTCCAATCTGGTAAATCTGACAATACTTGCTGTATAAACATTGTTGGCATCACTTGAAAACACAAGCCATTCTAATTTGTCTCATTTTTATGATCTGCAAAATTACTAAAAACATTTTCAGTGTTTATTAATGTTATATAATAATTATTTATCTGAATTAAATCATTTATTTTTATGTAGAATAAGAAATTGTAAAGATTATTACAAGATTTTGGGAGTAAGCAAAGAATCAAAACAAACAGAACTTAAGAGACAATATAGAAAACTCTCTTTATTATATCATCCAGACAAAAATAGAACACCTGGATCAGAAGAAGCTTTTAAAGGTGTTTATAAAATATTTTTGATTTTCTATTTATTGTTTTAAAATTAATTCTGTTATATCAATAATTTATAAATTTACTGATGATAATATAGTTATTAATTACAATGTGTAATGTTTATCCAGCTATTTGTCAAGCATTTTCCACTCTTAATGATCCAGAAAAAAAGAAACAGTATGATTTGTTGAAACTGTATGAATCATCTGGAAGAAGACATACTCATTCAGAAAATAAATTTTATAATAATTCTCATGTGTATAATAAAGGTATTTTTTTTCATTTTGATAGTTTAAACTAAATGAGTCAAATATTTTAATTCTTTGAAATTGTTTAGCACCAAATCGTTGTCCTCCCCGAGAAAGACGATGGTATCACCGAAGAGAAGCACAGAGAGAACCTTTGGTAGGAGGAAATTTTAATTTCAGTTAAAATGACTAATGTTTTTACCTCTACAGATTATATATTAAAAGGTAAAATATGATTTCATGAACAGAAATTTGATTCAAAAATTGACTTAAAAATTAGTTTTGGTTCAGTTTTATTTTAGATTTATTTAATGAGTTGATTTATTTACTTTTATCAGCAATATTCTATCAAACAAAATTTTCAAAGTTTTATATTTAAAAATTTTTTTAACTATTAATTATATTTACAAAGAAATTTAATTTAAAACAAATAATGAAATGTTTATGAAATATTGTGACCTCTGCAGATGAATAATTTTCCATATTCAGCATTTGTTTATGTATTTGTATGCTTGCTTTAAAATAGAGAATTCATATTGCCTTTTATAATGACAATAAAAGTTGATATATGGCGTGGAATGCTGTCACATGACAATCTAATGTTGTTCTATGAAAATTTAGTAGGAATTTTTTTACTAAAATTTTTGAAAAACAAACTAATCTAAACAAATATTTAGAGATATTTGTGGCATATATTGCATGTCTACAAAACTAATCACTGAATATAACATTGATTGGTCATCACTAAATGTCAGACTTTTATATATAATGAAATAGAAGAATAATAGAGAAAAAATGTATTTTGTACAAGTGAGATGCTGAGAATATTTGTAAATATAGATTAAATTTTTAATGATTGGGTAAGGCACTTTAGTAGAAACTTTTTAAAATGAAAATGAAGATAAAATATGATGAGTTTTTAAATGCTTTAGTTTTCTTTTGTATAATCAGCAAAGTTATATTAGCATTGCTTAGGCAATCTTCAATAAATGTAATTTTTAATCTTTTAATGTTTGTATCTGGAAGCATCAAATAAGCTTAAAGATGTGTTTTTTTCATTATTTTTATTTTTACATTTTTTTTTTTAAATCATAACTTCTTCAGTATTGGCAGATAGAGTAAAAAGGCATAAAATGATTAAGATCAAATTGAATTAATCAAATTCTATGAAATTTAATCTTAAATACTCTTATTGAAATTTAATTGGTTTAATCATGATTCTTCAATATTAGTAAATTCTCTTAACTTTATGATTATAATTTAATAATCAATTATGCTTAAACAGTTTGTGTTCATTTAATTTTGCTGAAATACAAAAATATTTTAAATTTAACATTTTTTGTTTTCAAATGTTTTAAAATTTTTTAAGTATTTTAGAATAACAAAAATAAAACTTTAGTATTGATTTAAATAATGATAAATTTTAAAAATAATTCAAATTTCTTGGATGAAACAATTTTAAATTGCAAATAGACTGCTAATTAAAGCATCCAATGCAAAAGTTTATTGGCATAGAAATGGGAAAGGACAGTGTTGAAACTTTGATATTGTTCTTTATTTGGATCCAAATCAAAGGAACATTTTTTGTTAAATATAAGCCAAAATGTTTCTTTGTCAATATACTTATCCATTTGATTGCTTTAAATAGCAGTCTACTTGCAATTATACATAGTGGCACTGAGTTTTGTCTGTTTTGAAAGAAAAATTCTGTGGAATGCTAGAAATGATGTATTATCAATCAGAGAAATCATAAAGATTAATTAAAATAACTGTAGCTCATAAAATTACAAAAGTTTTATTTATGTGAAATTATACCTTAGTACAGGGCTGTCCAACTGGCGGCCCGCGGGCCGTATATGGCCTGCCAAATAATTTTTATGGCTCCCGAGTACATTTTACTATGAATAAATTTATGTTACTAAATTATTATTATTAATATTAAAATTATTTTACTATGTGAAAATTTAAATCTAATTTGAATTTAAAGTAGGTACTATTTAGTTTGCGTAACTTCACTTAACCTGGCTGAATACAGCAGCAACCTTTTTGGCCCCCGAAATGTTTGGTGAAGAAAATATGGCCTGTGGGCTATGATAAGTTGGACAGCGCTGCCTTAGTAGGTTAAAATTTTGATTAATATTGACTGAAAAAAATGTTCAAATATCAAAACTTTTCAATTGTTGATTACTTTTTCTCTAATCAGAAATAATTATTTGTTTAACTTACAGTTAGGTAGTTTTGATTCCAAGTACTTGGATTTGGACTTGTCTCTTTCATTTTTCATTTTTACTTAGAATTGATATTTGAGCTAAAATTCAACAAGTCTGAGTCCTTAATATATTTCAAAAACATTAAATAGATGCCATTGTTCATCAAAGCGTTATTAATAAAGATGAAGGAAACAAAACATAATTTGTAAAGCTGAATGATTTCCAGATTAAATCTGGCTACATTACTGCTGCTAATAATTATTAAATACAAAATAATAAGAGATGGTGCCAACACCTACATTTAGTATCAAATTACTCTGTATTTAATAGTTATTAGTATCAGTAATGTAGCCCAGTTTATTCTGGTAATTGTTTGACTTTAATATAATTATCATGCTTTAATATGCTTATACATGTACAGTACATAATTAGTACAGACTAGATTCAGAAAATGATCAAATAATCAAATGATTTTTCATAAATTAAGCAACATTGTTTGCAAAATATGAGCACACATGTTATGTTTGTTTGTTTATTTTATAAAAATTAAAAAGGAAAAGCAAATAAAAGTAAAAAATGCCAAAAAAAAATCAAAACTTTGGAAATTCTTCAAAGTAGTCTCAAAGGCAGAAGCTTGATGGCTGGATAGTTTGGATGGTTAAGGTGTTATGCTATTGCTCTGAGGACCTGGGATCGAGTCTGGGATAAAGCAGCTTTCCAGGAATTTTTTATGGGTGGGCTATCACAGATAAGTCAGGACTCATTTCTCCCTACCCAGGTGTATGGATAAGTTGGGATAAACCCATGACAGATATGAACAAAAATGGCCCTCCTGGTGCCTGCAGGATTGCAAAGAGTAAAAGTAAAAAAAACTAAACCATAAATGAAATATATGTACTTATAATATACTTTTTAAATACGAGGCATGTTCAAATGAAAGTGATTTGAAGTGTTGCATGCAAACAGTTTTCAATGTATTTTCGTGAAACAAATGTGATAGTGAAGGTTTATGTATCATGCATGTGTGTGCACAACCAGATTTGTTATAACTTCATTCGTAAGGACATTGCATTCATTTCATAATGGCTGGTGTGGATGCAACTGCATCCAAAACAGATCAGCGAGCTGTAATTAAGTTTTTAACACTGGAAGGGTGTAAGCTGATGAATATTCATCGCAGAATGCTGGCTGTGTATGGTGACACGTGTGTCGAAGCCCGCGGCAACGAGGTAGGTGAGAATGTTTAGCGACAGTCAACACAAGACAAGGGATTTGCCACGGCCCAGTCAGATGCACAAAGTTGTGACAGAAAAGCTGATTACGGACATTGACACTGCAATCAATGGAAATCGACATTGAAACATTCGTGACGTCGCAAATGAGTTAAACGTTTCCATTGGTACTGTTCACAATATTATCACCAACATTCTGAGGTATCGAAAAGTTTTATTGCCAATGGGTACCCCGCATGCTGTCTGAACACCACAAGAAACAGCGAATGGGCTCGAGTTTACAGCATTTGTTGCGCTACAGGGATGACAGTGACAACTTTCTGCAGCACATAGTGGCAGGGGATGAAACCTGGTGTCACCACTTCCAACCGGAAGGGAAGTCCATCAGCATGCAATGGAACACATTCCGGCTCACCTAGGCCCAAAAAATTCAAAACTCGGCCAAAAGTCAGCCAGAAAGGTGATGATGACGGCATTTTTCGACATGCAGGGACCCCTATTACTGGAGTTTAAGGAGTTGAACGTCTCCATCGATGCCCAACGATACACCCAAACACTTGATAAGCTGCATATGGCTATCAAAAACAAACGTTTTCGTATGCTGTCGTCATTCTGCATGACAATGCAAGGCCACATGTTGCCAAGGTATGTGTTGAAGCACTGGTCCATAAAAAGTGGAAAGTCCTGGAACATCCAGCTTACAGTCCAGATCTGTCGCCTTGAGACTATCACATCTTTGGACCGCTGAAGAAAAGTCTAATGGGTCAACGATTTCACTCCGACGATGACGTAAAGGCTGCAGTTCTGAACTGGTTCCCTGATCAACCAACATCGTTCTTTGCGGACGGAATTCATAACCTTTCTAAGCAATGGGACGCCTGCCTAAATGCCATGGGTGATTTCTTTTAACAAACTTTGTATGCATTTCACTCATTAAATATTGTTTTTTTCTATTTATGTATCTGTCTCATTTCTGTCCCTACGCATTTCGTGGATACACACCTCAAATCATTTTCATTTGAACACCCCTTATATTTAGTTGATTTATTTCTGTTTACAATATATTGTTTCAAATAAGTTAATAGTAGTTCACTTTGTACACATTTGAAATGTCAAAATATTGTCACAAACAATAATAATTTGATAATTATAATTAAATAGGTTTTTGCAAAATGGAAATAGCCTTTTTGTTGTTTGAACTAGATACTAAAGTTCAATAAACAAAAATCAATATATTGTATTTAAACGTGGCTTTATGTTTGGAAATTAGACTCGACTTGGACTCATCAGGTCTCAAAATACCGAGATTTGACAAACCACGTTTACATTGTCATCATTGCAATTACCAAAACACCTGTTCCATTTGTTGATGTTTGCTTTTCACTCAAATTATTGTTATTGAAAATTGCTTCTAAAATTTTATTACTTTCAAATTCATCACACTATTGATTTACAGTAGAACCCCTCTAATCCGTTATCTTTGGGACTGGGGGTATGGTCGGAACGCAAAAATGGTCGGATTATCAGAAAAAAGTAAAATAAACAATCTTCCCCTTTCTCCAGTCTTTGTAGCACTGCTAATTTTTCATTTAATGAAAGAGTAACGTGTTTACGTTTCACTCCTGACATGTTGAAAACACACACAAAACTGTACATGTACACACAATGTAAAACATATACTGTAACGAACATAGAAAAACGCCACGGACGGTGAGTCACCGACGAGTCGGGACAAGTTTCTCGACTCCGACCACGGTCGGATTAACCGGAGTGACGGACTAGCCGAGGGCGGACTAGAGGGGTTCTACTGTAATTTACAAAATATGTTTTAAAAAAATCAAGTAAAAGTGTTAAAACAATATCAGTATAATATAGATAGCATTTTTGACATTTTAAATTGTTTGGCATGTAGGATTAAATTCATTTTATCAAGAGGGAAAAAATTGTGCAAAAAAGGCAGTGTAAACTGTATAAGTTTAAAGCAAGCATTAAAGCATAAATATTCAATTAAAAGTGATGAAATTAATTTATGCTTCCAATACCTTCAAATAAAATTAAATCATATTAAAGTTTTTAATTTCTGCTATTATTTTAATAAATAAAAATAAGCTATTAATTATTTAATTACTTTTTCTTTAGTAATAATTTATTTCAGTAATAACATTTTTTCATTAACTGCAAAAATTTCTGCTCTGAAATACTTTTAAGAAATTTCCATTTTTAAATAGAAATATACTCAATTTCTCATATTCACAAGGGTTCCTTTAGAAACTAGCTTGTCATCATACCATTTAAAACTTTGTCATAGATTCAATAAAGTTTTAAAAAATTAACAACAATAAAATAGTCTAACTAGCATTTATTTATAATTTAGTGTAAAAACAGAGTAACACATAAAATATAATAAAATAAAAAGCAAATTCATTGTTCTTATTTCTGTTCCAAATATAGACTGTGAAATACCAGACACCAGTCTCGGCAGACATAACATATGCACATTTCAAAAAGATTTACGGAATGAAATAAAAAAAATAAATAATTTTTTAAATTTGATTTTATCTCTGCAAATGTGAAAGGTCAAGTGTACATTTGTTTACTTGTTTAAGCAGTTTAATTTTATTATAAGTTTAAACTGAACAGAAATATAATTACAGAGAAAATATTAAAATATATACAAATTTAGTAAAAACTGGAAGAATTTGAAAAATGTATAGTAATAAATCCAAAAATTAATTGAAATATTGCATAAATTTGCTATATAATACCTTTATAATAAAGCAGGATGACTTAATATCTATAACAGGATGACAATGGCTTAATAGCAAAACTTCTCTTGGCTGCAATCTGTTTATCTCTTGCCTGTACTCTCTACATCTCTGAACCTACTTATAGTCTGTCTAAAACACCGTAAGTTATACAGTTATTAATAATTATATCGGCATTAACTTTTATCTATTATCCTTTACGGATAAAGTTATTTCTAAAATTATCAAAGTCCACTGTTTAAAAATAATATCATTAAAAAGAATAGTTATAAAATTTAACAGTGTTTAAGTTAATTAAAATTTAAAACACTATAATTATATATTTGTAATTTTACTTAATTGTTCCTTATAATTTTATTTAGAAAATTTTCCCAAGAGTTGAAGACAAAGAATTTAAACATTCTGTATTATGTCAAAGAGTCATTCGAACACGATTATACCGGTAGCGTTTTACAATTAGAAGCAGAAATTGAAAAAGAATACGTATTTCATTTAAAATCATCATGTTTCAGAGAAAGAAATTACAGTGAGTATTTTATTAATAACTTCTATTAAGTGAAATGTTTCACTTAATAGAACTTTAATTGTTCATAAACAATGTAAAGCTTTGTACAAAATTTATTTTTACATTTTATTTAGTGTAATGTTTATAATTTTTATTCTATTAAATTTATTATTTTGTAGGGAACAAATTAATTACTATCTTACATTTTTTGTTGCCTAATATTTTAAACATTAGGCAACAAAACTGTTGAAAGAAAGCTGTTGAAAATACAGAATATAATTTGTCTATTAGAGCTCTTGCCTATTCACTGTCTTTTTTATTTAAATGTATACAGTTTCTTTAATAATGGAGAGTACTTCATTAATATGTATGCTTATCTGTGTATTGTATACTGCTTAATTTCTATTTTAAATTGTTTAAATGTAATTTAATATTAGTGAATTTCATCCAATTTAAAATCTAAATGATTTAAATTGGATGAAAGAAATTTTATCATTTCACAAATGTTCTTGGATCATTGATCCCTTTGTAATCACTAATTTTGAAACTTTTTAAACATATCTCTTAGTTTGCTTATCTTAAAAACTGAAATTGACTGAATTTTATTTTCCTTGTTCAGTTGTGCAAATGATTTCATTTTTTGTTTCTCATGCTTCTGGTAATAAATTGATCTGAGAAGTTTCCTTAAGTATTTTGGAGACATTATTTTCACATAACGAAAAAGTTAATAATCTACTTTACTACATCTGACTATATATAATTCAGAATTACGGAATCTGGGATGCTTGAATTTCCAGGTTAAAGAAGTTCATTTTACAAGATTAAAATTCACTTTTTCTGTATGACTTGTAAACATAAAAGAATAAATATATTATTAGTAATGCTAATAAAATATATATATACGCTCTTTTTTATATTTTTATGGGAAGGAGTAATTTGTTTAGATGTTTTTCTATCACTTTATTTATTGTTGAGTAATAAATCATCATTTCTTCATCCCAAATATTATTTTCATTTAATAGTTTTCCTACCGCAGACAGTCAAATCGATGCCGTTTACTTATCAGTTATGCTACGGTGGTAACCATTTCTTTGAATACGGGTCAACGTATCCTAGCAAAAGTTATCCTCGAAATTCTCTTTTCTCTCGATTTAATTATTAAAAGATTATAAACAAGTTTAAGTGCTGTGTTAAGATGTAGATAGTGCGAACCTAATAGTTCAGACAGACAATATCTACATTTTAACAGCGAAAGTTCTTATCTAAAAAACTATACTGCAATTTACAATAGATGCATTCCCACGTGATTTCAGTGTAAAAAATTTCAAAATTAATTAATTAATTAAATCTCGCAATCCCAAAATGTATTTTCAAGGTATTTATTTATTTACAGAAGAAACAATGATATGGAGAGCCAAGAATTTGAAAGATCGAAATTTGGAAGAAAAAGCCAAAAGTTTGCAGACGCCTTCTTGTGATACTTTACTTCAATTATATCATAATTGATTTATATAGAAGAAAATTACTCAAAATATGCAAATTATATTACTAAATCATTCTCTAAGCAGATCTTTTCAAGTTAATTGTTACCTTTAGCATCCGTTTCTATGACAGATATTTTGAAACGAGCAATATTTTATGATTACAAACATCCACTAAATTGTAAGAGTTAATATAAGATCACCTAATATTTTTTATTAAACCGAAAGATTTAGTATTGTTGTGGACTGTTTAAAAAGTTTTTTTTGTTTGTTCACAATAAAGTTACGTAAATTGACGCTTGCTTTCCGTAGTTTTTTTTAATTACGGCCATGTCGATATTACGCGTAACGCGAACGACAACCGTCATCTTCTAACAACTTGGTTACAGTAACGGAGTTCGAAGACGGTTAAACGTCGGTTACGTTTGTGTTGCGCTAGTATCTAGCGTAAGCGGGCCCCTATCGATACAAAATTTTGGTCTAGGGCAGCTGTAGCTTGGTTGCCAGACGATAGTTACGATAACTTCCCTTCCAAAATATTAAAACTTTATCACGAAATCGAAAGTTTTAATCGACGGAAGAGCCGTGACTAGAGCATTCGGCACGGGAGACAAACTCAAATATGGCGCCTTTTGGATAAGCCTTCTAATTAGCCTGTTACAAATTTAAAAATCATATAAATATTATATGTATATTTTATTAAATAAAATATTGTGATTTAATTTAAAGACTTTAATGATGGCTGTGGCATTTTAGTGGAACGTAAGAGAATTTGTTCTAGCGCTTACAAAATTTATTTCCGTATGACAATACTGTAGCGAATTCACATTGTAGAGAAACTCGTCAGGTTACTCTGATGGTTGGCGGACAGGGAACATTTCTAACACTGAACTACTGGAAAATTTTGAAAAACAAGAACGCGTGATAATATAATTTTTCATACTCGTATGATACGGTTTTCTATCAATTTTTAGTCGGTCACCTGCCTTTCCACGGTCCCTGTGGGTCGAGAAAACACCAATCGCGACTTCAATAATCTTCCGACCGACAAATGGAAAAATCTAATCTTCGATAGCCCACGTGTTTCGTGCTCTCCCATAAAGCGGTAAAATAATATTTGAAAATATGCAGCTTATTTTGACTTTTATTCTACCGTTTAACGAAGAATACGAATTCTATTCCCGTTCTCGTTCGTGGGAGTCGTCGATTGAAGCCGCTATATTATTCTGGAAATGATAAAGTAGCGCGTGATCTAACATGGCTGCAAAAGTATCGTATACAATACTGTAACAATAAACGTGTGTAAATATTTTCAATAAAAATAATTATAACTTAACAGTCGTACGGTGTGCAGAACTTTTTATCGCGAGATTTTAACTACCCACTTCGTAACAATTTGCTTGGTCGTTGGTCTTTACCGACGACGCCAAGAAAACGAAGTAAAGGACAATTGGTGTGGGAACATTGAAAATTAGAATGCAACGAAATCGCTTGTTTGACGGGATGAATCGATGCAACACCGGGGCGATCCGTCGAGGGGAAGTCCCTCTCGTGAGGGCTTTATATTAAAAAAAACGCCCATATTTATAAGTATTAGAGGCGTGAAGAAAACCCGAAAAATTTTGGCGTCGGTCGTGCGCGAACCGGGAACCGATTACCCATGTTCGTTGGTTTTATCCACGATCAATGGGATAAACTATTCCAAAAGTTATCGAAAGACTATAAAGTAATATAAATAAACTGATGCGTGCCAACTAGGGTTTCTCATTTCCCGGTCTTTTGCTTGTCCCGGGATCCCGGGATAAAAGTGAACTGTTTCCCGGGAAATCCCGGGATAGAATTAATTATTTTTAAGGTATACAAAATATCTTGAAATCAAATGATATAATTATTTTCCATTTTTTAAAGTAATTTTAAAGTTCTGTAACCTCCAAAATCATATTAATAATGCTGTGTAAGGTCTATAGGCCTATAATAAAAATTACCTTTGAATAACGTAGAAATTTTCACAAATAGAAAAAAATTAATTAAAGTTTGCTGGAAACTGCATACAACAACAACAACAAAAATGTTTTGAATTGAGTTAAAAAAATGAACTTCTAATTTAGAAGGTAATTTTCGTTTTTTAAATAAAATATAATACAAAATATTGCAAACTTTTATAAAATTTTAAAAAGCAAAGATTGTCAATACTCCGATAACGCACTCTAATTCTTATTTTAGTAATGAAAAGTCTTGCCACCGAGAATGCCCTTTCCGATTCAATTGATGTGATTGGAATAGTGTTTAATGCATTTAAGAGAAGACAGATATTATGTGTTTTTTCACCCGTAGCCTGGAAGCTTTCGAGTTCGTTTTCGAGATTGTAGTACTTCTTTCGCTCTCTAGTATTCTTGATTTGTCTACCTTGGCTGCTTTAATAGCGGCATCGAGCTTAGAGCTCGATAATTCGGCAATTCATTTGGCTTTAATAATCAGGTTTATGAAGAAAAACTTCATACTTGCAGACTTTGTACTCGTTTGTATCCTTGCCCAATTTGCACAATCTGGCGTCAGGCATTTATTGAAGCTACTGGGCATGGTTAAAACTCAAGACAGCGTAAGCGCACTTATTCCAGATATTACAGGTTCCGACAAGTAAAGAATTTTTATAGTCCTGCCACAAATAAGCTATATATTGATTATTGACCATTTGTGACACGCTATAACGAACAAAAATTTAAAAAAACTAATAGCTAGTTTTAAAATTAATAAATACAAATGTATTCTGACAGTTTGTGAGTTAATTATGCTTTCTATTTGCAAAATTCCTCAACCTTAACACAAAATAAGAAAAAAAGTGAATTTTTAAGAAATTTGCTGGATTTCCCGGGATAAATAAAATTTCCCGGGATATATCCCGGGTTAAAAAAACAACCGGGATCCCGGAATCCCGTTTGAGAAACCCTAGTGCCAACACTAACAGAAGATAGACTCGCTTTACGAAGAAAAGAACAATTCGGCCATTTGACAAATTATATTTTTCCATCGAATTCAATTAAATGTAGCGGTCGAATTTTGTTCCGAGTTCTTTTTTCTGTTACTTTAATACGCTTGTCTAACTAGGAATATACTTGTGAGCGCTATGATGATGACCTCTTTATTCCTAGACTTATTACACCGTCTCTAGACAAAAATTGATGTTCTATTGCTGGTCTTGTGTCTAATGACGGTATAATAAGTCTAGGAATAGAGGTCATCATAGTGCTCGCAAGTATATATATATATATACTTGTAAATATATATATATTTACATATACATATATATATATATATCTAATATATAATCGAGACGGGTTGATGATAATAATAATAATAATAATAATAAGCGCAGAGCCCAAACGGTTAGGAGTTGAAATTTGAAATTTGGTACACAGATAGGGTACGTCACGAAAACGCACACTAAGAAGGGATTTTTCGAAATTCCCCCCCGGGGGGAGAGAGACAGGATTAAAACTTCTATATACATTATGGATATGAGCCAAACGGTTAGGAGTTGAAAGTTGAAATTTGGTACACAGATAGGGTACGT